TGCCTCCCTAGTGCTGGGATTAAAGGCGTGTGCCACCAACGCCTGGCTGCAATGTCCCTCTCTTGAGCTTCATGTCTCAAAACCTCTTGCCAAGGGTCTGTATTCAGTTCTTTGGGGTTCAGAATCCATCTTGCTGAGAAATGTTTTAGAAGATAAAGATTGCAGGGACACTTTTAATTTTCCCAGAAGGCTTCACATTTAATTCAGTTGGGGCCGCAAGGCATTTTAGAATGATTGTTTGACTTCATGAATTATGACATGGAGAAATTGGCTCTGATTCTGGAGGAGTGAAGAGCTGGGCCAGGATTATATATAGTACAGTGGTGTTAAGCCCTGCTTTTTCTCATGAAACCGAGCCCCCTCCTCTCTGTTAGGAGATAGGGTCTTGCTGGCCTCAAACTTGGATCTTCGTTACTTAGCCTCCCAAGTGCTGAGAGTACAGGTGTGTTCCACCCCATGCAACTAAAATACAAGGTTTTGGAGGGAATTTCTGACTGTCACCTGTCTGTCGTCTCTAGCTCCACCTTCTCAGTTGGAGGGGTACTGGGGTGGGTGGGTTTGAGTGAGTTGCTCTGCTCTGTTTTCCAGTTTGATGTTCTAGATCTTGATCTGGGTATATTTTGAACCAAGAAAGAATAGTAACAATGGCTTTCCTGTTACATTATGGGTGTGCCAGCACTGCCCCTGGTCACACTCAACCCTAAAATGAACTGCCGAACACAGCCTTCTTGTCTTTACTCCCAGTTGGCTTGTTGTCCTCCATGGTCTCCACCCACACAACCCACTCACCCTGGACCCATTTTAAACAGAGGGCCCTCTGTCCTGAGATGATGCTCCATCTGATGGCTATTTGGGGACTTTTAAACTACCACTGTCTAACAGAAATGCAAGTCACAAATGTGGGCTACACATGTCATTTTCAGTGTTTGAGTAGCTATTTGAAAGGAAGTAAAAGGAATGGATGAAATTAATTTAATCTAGATTTTATTTATTTATTTCAAAACAAGTCCCGCTATGTAGACCTGGCTGGCTTGGAACTTATGTAACAGAGATCTACCTGCTTCTGCCTTCTGAGTACTGGGATAAAATTAACTTTTATTATGTATTTTCTTTAACCTAATGTATATAAAATGTCATTTCAACTGCCTCCCCAGTGCTAGGATTACAAATACATATCATAGTACCAGTCTCTTAAAAACACAAGTTCCAGGGATTAATCTCAGGTCCTATGCTTGCAGGGCAAGCGCTCGACTGACTGACCCATCTCCCTAACTCTCAGATGTAATTTGTAATTTGTGAAACATTGCAGTTCAGGCTGGACACATATGGCTAATGGCTGCCATGTTGGACTGCAGCCTAAACAAATGTCCCCTCCACTTTTTTCCTTCATCCTGTGCCCTCCCTGACTTTCTTTCTCTGTAGAGATCACACACTGAGCTACATACCTCTCCTGTGTCTCTTACTGTTGGGCACTTTCACTGGCTGGCACAGTGGAAGGCTGGCTCCTTGTTAGGCTGTGGGGCTACGTGCTCAGGATATGCTCTACTCTCCATGCACTTGTTTCCCAGCTCCCCCTTATGTACTTCCTTTGTTGCTTGTTAGGCCAAGAACTGTCTTGACCAAGCTTTGGTTTTGGTCCCAGAAGCACAGATGAAACTCCCTGGAGGAAACCAGAGAGCCAAAGACTCAGCCTTCTCCTGTTTTCTCCAGCCCATAAGCTTTCCACACCACAGAGAATGGCATTTATTTCTGAGCTACATTCTTCTTTCCCTTATCTGAGTTTTCCATGGACCTTTCTAGTTGTTAAAGGCTAGTTTATTTTGTATCTGATGTGTTTTTTTGTGTGCCCAAATACTTTATTTTTGATGGGATCAAAACACATTTTCGATTTATGAAACTTAGAACCCTAGGTCTTAAAAAATGATTTACTTATTTCATGATGTGTCTGTGTTTGAGTGTGTGTTTGTAGTGTCTTAAAAGGACAGAAGAGGGTGTTGCATCCCCTGGAATTGGAGTTACAAGCAGTTGTGAGCCACTTGATGTGGGTGCTGGGAACTGAACCCTGGTCCTTTGGAAAAGCACCAAGTACTCTTAATTGCTGAGTTACGTGTCTGCAGTTCATAACCTGAGTTGTTGTTGTTGTTGTTGTTGTTGTTCTCCTCCTCCTCCGCCTCCGCCTCCTCCGCCTCCTCCTCCTCCTCCTCCTCCTTCTTCTTCTTCTTCTTTTTGTCTTTTTGAGACAGAGTTTCTCTGTGAAGCTCTGGTTTTCCCAGAACTTGCTAAGTTTTAAATTTAACTTGTAAAGTTTGTTTCATTATCAAGAAACATCAAGAAAACAAAAATAAAAACAACAAAAAAGTATCTAGGGTGATTGTGATGGCTCAGAAGACAAAGGCACCTTCTGCCAAGCTTAATGACTTAAATTATATCCCCAGAATCCATATGATGGGAGAAACCAATTCCTGCAAAATGTCTTCTGACCCCCATATGCATCATGTGACATCTGTGCTCTCCTCTTAGTACACATGCAAATAAGTAAATGTAAAAAGAACTAACAAAATCCCCAAACAAAATGAAGGACGGGGTGGGGCTAGAGTATAATGTCACAGGTAGTCCTTGCCTAACATCTTTGAATTATGGATTAGATCCCAGACACAGCAAACAACGTATGCCATTTTGACAACTTCTGATGGCCTTTAAGTAATACTTAGTTCCATTTTAGCTAAGGAAATATCTCAGATGTTTGTTTATTTATTAAAAGATTCCCTCCCATCTCCATTTCTCTCTCTTTTCTAAGGATTGAATCTAGGGTCTTGAGAATGCTGGACAGATGCTCTATTGCTGTCTTACATCCTAACTCCCTTGGATTTTTTTTTAAGATTCCTTAATTATTTTATGTGTATGGATGTTTTGCTTGAATGTATGAGCACTACATGTATGCCTGGTGCCTATGGAGGCTAAAGACGGTATTAGATCCCCTGGGACTGGAGTTACAGACCGTGTGGGTGCTGGGAATTGAAGTGAGGACCTCTTCAAGAGCAGCCAGTGCTCTTAACCACCAAGCCATCTTAGATTTTTTTCTTTTAAGATTTTATTTATTATGTATACAGTCTTCTGCCTGCATGCCAGCAGAGGGCACCAGACCTCATTCAAGGTGGTTGTGAGCCACCATGTGGTTGCTGGGAATTGAACTCAGGACCTCTGGAAGAACAGTCAGTGTTCTTAACCACTGAGCCATCTCTCCAGCCCTCTTAGATGTTTTTCTTTAACTGTGGTTATATACCCAATCTACTTTCTTGCTTAGGCACACACACACAAGGAAAGATGGGAAGGAACAAACCCCCAGAATGCACAAAAGTGAAAGAACTTTATTTGGGTATTTTGGACTTGCAAGTTGAAAGGCCCAGGATTCAGCTTGCTCTGAAAACACATTC